ATTTTTGGAACAGGGGTTCAAAGGGCTTTCGAATAATAAAAAAATTTTGATTTTGCCGCCGATGACCGGCGGCCGTCGAGGTGGCTTAGGGTGGCCGGAATTTGGAAATGCGGCTATGTTCTTCGTGGCTCAAGAACAATTGAGAGCATTTTTTATTTGGGGGGAGGCTATCTCGTTTTGCAAAGGAAAAATGAAGCCTTAAGGCAAAAATTTGGCTTTTATATCTGACCCATATACCTAGTATACAGCCCGCGTTTTGACACGTTCTTTACCCAAGATCCACGTGTTTCTGTTCTAAAAAGGGTAAACTTGCTTTTGGTCCCTCTGATGTTTAAAACATTTAATTTTGCCCCCTAATGCGTAAATACTAACGTTAATTGGCTTTGAATTTCGACCCCTAATTTATTTTTTATTTCAATTCGGCCCTTTGTATTTAAGTTTTAATTATTATTATTTCATTCATCCGTTTTATTTTATTTATATGTATATATTTCTTTATTATTTATATTTTTTCTATTTTCTTCCATTTTTCATTCAATATTTTTATATTTATATATATATTCTTTTATATTTTACTTTCTTTTTAGGTATATACGTTGTATTTTTATTTGTTTATTTGTTTATTAATATTCATATATATATATATATATATATATATATCTTTTTGTATTTATTCATTTATTATATGTATTATTATTTTGCCTACTATTTTCCTTTTTCCTATTTATTTATCTTACTTACCTTTATTCTTGTTTTCTATTAACTCCCTTCTTTACTTTCTTTTTCTTTACCTCTTTCTTCATTTTATTTTTTTTTACCACCAGTTTATCTTTGCTTTACTCGTTTCACTCCTTTGTTATTTTTTTTATTTTAATTTTATTTATTCATTTCCTATTTTTAACACGTTTCTTGATTTTTAAGGTTCACTTTTAAACAATTTAAGGTAAGCAATCTGGATCGTTATTTTACCTTTTAAGTTAAATTTACAATTCTCTTACTTAATGACAACTGGAAATTACGTAGTACCGAAAGGACAGTTCAAGGGTGCTAATCCTTCCTTGGCTGTAACCGACTCCCGAATCCGACATATCACTGGTAAGACGCAGATCAGGTAAGAAATAAGGTATCCGACCAACTATTTTTAATAAAATAAATGATCGGTGACGACTCCTAACACATTATATTCAAGTCAAAGCCCAATTTTGGGCCCAACCGAAAGACTGTTCCGACAATAATAATAATAATTTTATAATATTATAAATCTGATTTTGTTGTTTAACTAATAATAATTCTACTTGCTTTGTTGCTTTAACTAACAACTATTAGACCTCACTTCGTATATATATTAAAAAATCACTTATTGCATTAAAATTTAATACATAAAGATTGTTTCCTAATTACGTGTATATATATATATTAAAAAATTTACACGATTAATATATATTAAAGATTGTATTCTTAAAATATTTAGGTTCGTAATTTAAAGACATTATCATTGGAAAGAGTATTTATAAACCTCGAATATATTTTAGAATACTTTTATTGTTTAAAAATATATTTTAAAGAAAGAATGATTAGAATAGTGATAACATAGTGATCAATATTAAAATATTTTTTAATGATTTAACAAGTCTAATATAAAGCAAGAATCATGTGCAATAATGTTGTAAATAATGGATATTCGGAAATATACAAAACAACAACAACAAAAATTCAATAATTATTTTAGCAAGCAATAATGTCATTGTAAATAATAATAATAATAATAATAATAATAATAATAATAATAATAATAATAATAATAATAATCCTATACTTAATATGAGTCATTTATACTTTATTATGACTTTAGTTGTGTTCTTCTCAATCTTCTTTCTCGTTTCTCTTTTACATCTTATTAGTTTTTTTTTAGATATTTAAAATTTTTGGTATTTTATTTAATATGTCTTTCACCTTTTTAATGAAATTTGTGATTTTTTTGTCTTTTTAAATATTTTTATTTTTTTAGGGTTAGATTTACTGTTATCTATGTAATTAATGTTAATTTGACTATCTTACTGGTATACCTATGATTTGGACTTTCAAACTGGTTATCTCATATTGATAGATGCTCGTAATCACCCAAGATTAGTCACGCTTGAGTTATGATGTAACATCTTGAATCTCAAAGACGTAAATCCGAATATGAATTTTTAGAATGAAATTATTATTTTTAGTGAAAACTAAATTATTTTCGATGTTTAGATGTATTCAACTTATTTTTTAAGAAAACGATTATTTTGAATATGGAATTAAATATTTTACGAATTTTATTATATTGAATATTTCGTAATTCGTTTTAAATATTAAGTGATCTATTAGAATTATATATATATGTATTTTATATTTAAAGTTAAAATTATTAAATTATATTATTATTATTTTATTCAAAATAACTGGAGAGCCACGAAATTGATATTTTTTTTGGGTATGTCTCGATTTTAAAATCGAGAGTTGGGGAAATGACAACAAGACCCCTAAATCGACCTCAATCCTAAAACAATTATGTTAAATCCATCGACCCAAACCCGTGCACAACTATGAGCCTGGCCCATCACCAGAATAGTAAAATCAATTGGTGATCAAGGCCCAACAATCCGACTCGAGATCGATCGAAGGTGAGCCCAGCCAGCGCTTAGCAGACACCAGTGGCAGCTTCCATCAACCTCCCCCTTTATCGGCAACAACTTTATCATTGAAAGCATCATACGACGACGTGCGACAACGCATGCTTTCATCGTGAACAACGTGGTCTTGACCAACAATCGAGCCATCCAAAACAAACGAAGAAAGAACAAAGAGAAAAATTGAAAAGAAACCAAGAATAAGATAAAGGGAACTCCAACGAGGCGAGAAGGATGGTATTTCTCGTCAATGGAGGTGTCAGTTGGAAGATCCAAACGACAAAGAGTTTTGTTTTCCCTTGACGACGAGAACAACATATCTCAGAATTGACCCCATCGGACGGTCATTGACGGTGAACGGAAGTATTTTGCTCAGAGAAAATCGAGAAATTTTGTGTAGATCTATGGTCATTCGCAACGATTTTTGATGATCTAAACAACAAAAATAATTTAACATTGACTAAAAATAAGAATTTTATTTGAGAAAATCATATTCGATCGAATTTAATTTTTGAGATTTGGGATGTTACACAAGATAAAGTCAATTATCAATGTACATCATTGTTATATTCTTTTTATGTTGGTGGTGATTGTAATTATCTTTCAGTGACGACAATCATACCTTCTATATTTATGAGTTGTTTGATTGAATTTTTCAACTATTTCATATATGATTATATTTTCATTATTTATCGGTTAGTTTGCGATCTTGAATAATTTTAAGGAAAATTATTGTTTACGTGATTAATCTACTTAGGTTTTGTAATCCTTTTTGTTGAGATTATGATATTGATCTACTTTTTTATTTATTTAATAAAATTGATTATTTTATTAATTTAAAAATATATAATTTTAAATAAATGAATTTATAATAAAAATTAAATCATTTTAACACATTATACAAAAAGTGACATGAAGGCAACATATAAAACAATATGGAAAAAATAATTAAAACGTTTCATAATATACCAAACATTACATTTATCGTAATCATATTTAAAATACATTAATAATTTGTATTTTGAAATTTTCAATATTTTTTTCATATTTTAATTATCTGCTAGTATTATAATATGGTGTTCAATATTTTTAAATTGAGGTGAAGCTTAAATAATAATAAGCTGGTTCAACAAAAAAAGAAAAAAAAATCTTTATTGGGTACCTTTTCAGCTGTCTCTTTGCCTACTTCATAATTCAATCTTTAATTTTATAATTTTTATACTCCTTATATAGTTCAACAATAATATTTTTTAATAAAACATTCAAATCTGATAATTTTATAAAGTTGTTTTATATTTTCATTTAAAGATTTCGATCATGGGCATGTAAATGTGCAAATAAATTTGTTTATTAAGTACAAATTAACTTACATTAGTGATTAATGAATTGTTATTATTCTTAGAGGTCATGGGTTCAAGCACCAGTACTGCATGATGATTGAGCCGATCATTGTCAAATGGTTGAGAGTACTTAAAATAAATATTATTTTATAATCACCTTTAACTTAATCAAAAAAATTATTTATTTTAATAAATTATATATTTTATTTATGTTGAAATAATATTTTTTAAGGAAGTAAGATTATCACTATCACACCTAAACACAAAAACTCGTTGGTACCGGTACCTAATACTTTAGTTCGTAATCTTTTTGGCATTCCCTTGCAGTAGCATTTTTTAGTTTGAATATGGTCCAACTATAGAATATGCTTATATTTTTAAACTCAACTATATCTAATGTAAAACAAATTTAAACAGATTCAAACTCGCCTGATTACCACTGTTGGTAAACACACACACATATATATATATATATATTAATAATGTAAACTTTTTGTATGAGATAAACACAAATAAAATTTTAAGGTGAATACCCTCAATAAAATAAATTACTAATATATAAAAAATTCAGATTTTAAAATACGTATGTGCTCACCCTAACCAAAACCTACATCCGCCACTGATTACCACTAATTTTACAATTTATATAACGAAATATCATCAAATCTCTAATCATTTACAGTTTATATAACAAAAAATCATCTAATAACATCAGTGGTTAAAAGTTATAAGCTATACATTCATCACCAATAATTAAAAAATATACTGAACAAATACTATCATTATGGTCACCTTGTACTATTTTAAGAAGAGATTGGTATTATAAAATTACCACAATAATCTGTTAAAAAGTATCAATCCAAATATATCATACAAATTAGCCAAGGTTCACAAACACATAATTTTGTACAATTTACAAGGCTCTTCTAATTGGTCAAATCAAATGGTCACATACCCTTTACATGGCTAAACAAAATGGTATGCTAAAAGGTAAGCCTAAATAAATAAAATAAAAAGGGGGCAAAAACAATACAACAAAACAGCCGAAAGAAGATGCAAAACCACCAATCCTCAGCTAAATCCCTATTATTACATCACAATTCAAACTATTCCTTTTAAGTTTCTGAAATAATCTATAACCATATCTCACAATCCCTGCAAACATCATAACATTGGTTTCATCATCAAGTGTTGAATCAACTAAAACATAACTGCTACTTTAAAGCTAAAACTACTGAAAAGAATGGTTCCATTCTACATGACTGCTGGCAAAAGGAAACACCATCTACTTTCTCTCTCAAATTTCCGAGGCAGCGATCAGATCATCTCCACGATACCAGTACTTCAGCTGAACAGCTTCAAATATCAAGTTCGTATCCTTCCAGCTACACATCAAATAATTTGAGTAACATTTGTAATTAGGCATGCACAATAGATCATAGCAATAATGAATATAAGGGAATAATGAATGATCTTTTTCAACTCAATTAGCAAATACAAGGGAAGCATAATGCGAAAGTCACACCTATAAGCAAAATCTGAAAGTGAATGTCGAGAAGATGACTTTTGAATCTTACAGCCAGATAATTCTCCTGAATCAATTGTGCGTGAACAACGAAAAGGGAAACAACCAATGATTCCCTAATTTATATTACAAACACTAAGCATGTACATTAAATCTATATGTCGGCAATCATCTATGAAGGGGGATGTCCGCATAAGTCTCATGTACCATGTATGGCAGAAAATTGAATATCCGTCATTACACATATATTAGCTAGCCTATTCCCAACATTTTGAGATCTTCCATGAATTACACATGTATATAAATAGAGGATTTTACGTGTACTGTATACACATTAAAACAAGTGTTGCACAATTCTGAACATTCAGGAAAATAGAACATTAAAGGATATTTTCATGGATATTAAGATGCTAGGATAATATGATAAGAACATATGGTCAAGGAACTTAATTGTTTCATAAAAGATTTGGACCTACTCCAAAGGAAGAGAAGCAATCGGCAAACTCAGGAATTGAACTAGGAAAGGCTATGAATTCATGACCACACCACCACCAGTTAAGAAAGACACCAAAGAGAATGATGAACCAGATGTTTCTGCCCTTACTGATATTTTCTTTCAAAAAATTTCTAACAGAACTTATTGATATAACTGATATTTTCTTTCAAAAATTTTCTAACAGAACTTACTGATATAAGAGGCTTCAGGTAGGTCACCCTGAGGTAAGCCGCCTCTTCCCATAATCAGCATCTCTAGATCTTGAACGATGCTCATCTTCCTGCGATAATCGGGACTTGCTGTGAGTCCTTGATGACCGCCCCCGGTCCCAATCATCATCATGCTCTGGCTCACAGTCCCTGTACCTACGATGATCTGCATATCTGTCTCTGTCTTCCCTATATCTATCCCTCTCCCTCTCCTCCCGATCACGATCGAGGTCACGATCTCGAGAGCGCTCCCTATCACGTTCTCGGCCAATGTCTCTATCATCCCGGCGCCTTCTTTCAGGCCAATCATGACCATGGCCCATTTCCTTCTCCCTATGTACGTCCCTATCATATCCTGATTCTTTATCATCGCGGTTCCTTCTTTTGGATGAACCAGACCACTCTCTTTCTGAAGTTCTATCTTTCTCTTTAGCTGGGTTTTGCCAACCTCCTTTGTCATGACTAACCTCGCCATATTGATGGTCAGATGCAGCTTCCTCCCCATAGCTTGACTCTCTAGCTCTTCCACCACCATGCTCATCACCACCCCATCCTCCCATGCTAGGATCCGACCACATTCCCATATTAGGTCCATCTACACAACTTGAAGGCATCATCCCCATACCATTCATGGGCATACCTCTTCCAAAAAATGCAGGGTTAACATGAGGAGCCACTCCAGGCAAACCAACTCCTCCAACAGGAGGGAATGAAGGTAAAATCCCTGAAAATGGAGGCGCTGGAGCACCAGGAAAGCCTCCATAACCGCCCATTCTTCCCATGGGGACACCAAAAGCAGGATCAAAACCTTGACCCATCATCGACTGCGGGTGCATGAGAGGAGCTGTCCCACCCATTCCCTGCCCGAATCCATTTCCACCATTTCCCATGATACCTCTACCACCCATTCCACCACCCCTGTTCCTCATAGGACCACCTGGCCCTCTACCTCCCATCCCCTGTGCATTGCCTCTTCCCCAATTCCCTCTCCCATAACCTCTATTATTATCCCCACCTTGATAATTCCCACCAGTTTGAATATTATTGGCACCAGTCTTACCAGCCACATCATTAGGACCCATCTTTGCTTGCGAGAGAGCAGACTGTGCCATCTGCTGATTCCTATTTAACTGAGCCTCTCCCATTTTCTTAACAGTAAAGGGAGATGCAAAGGCAACAACACAAGGCCTTCCGTTAAACACGTGCCCATTCATTCCCTCCTTACAAGCTGTGGCAACGGCTGGATCATAAAACTCAACCTGACAATACCCTTTTGACTTCCCACTTGCTTTCTCGTCGAAAAACTTTACTTCCTTAACAGGCCCATACTTGCACAACTCGGACTCCAATTCAGTATCTGTTGTCCACCAATGCAAATCTCCAACAAACAATATTGTCCTGCCACCTCCAGCTGCACCACCATTTGCCCCAACTCCAGGGCCAGCACCAGCAACACCCACATTTCCACCTCCATTCCCAATTGTAGGGCCACCGCCACTGCCACCAGAGCCATTCACACCAGCGCCTCCTACTACTCCTTGTCTCACCAAGCCTTCATTCTCAACACCCCTCACATTCCCTACACCATATCCTTGATGTCCCATACCACCTACACTGCCTAAACCATTATTCTTATTCCCACTCTGCTCCACAGCTACCTCATTCAGCTTACTTGAGGCCTGAGCAAATTCAACCCTAAGCCCACCCCCAACAACATCCAGACTAGGTCCTTTGACATCATCAACAGCACTAACACTCCTAAAACCTTGACTCTCATAAGAAACACTAGAATCCCCTCTATCACCACCACCTGCAACCCCCGGAATTGAAACACCAGATTCCAGAGCACCTATTGCTGATCCATTAAATTTCCCACCACTGTTAATATTTGAACTATTCTTATTTTCTTCATTTAGAAACCCTACATTGTCGCTTCTTCTCAAAGATTGAAGAAACCCTTCACCAACATTAACATCACTGTAAAGGTCTTCATAATCGTCGTCTTCCTCACCTAAAAAACTCTCGTCAGCAACTGCCGAGATTGCTTCATTCCTGTGGAACTGATCCCCTCCTTTCCCTTCATCCATCTTTCCCTTCCCCATCAAAAATTCCAAAATACAAAAAATACCATAAACTAATTTCAAAGCTTCGAGCCTTTTCTGCTTCCTGGAAATTACCAAAAAAAACTACATTTAACAAAATGAAAACTGAAATTAATTGAAATTAGAAAACGAATTCGGGCATTAAATCTTACCAGACAGCTTAGGTGAGATATCAAAGAGAGAAACGTGAGAGAAATACGCAAAACCCTAATCCTCAAATCCCATGGGATTCTTCTTCTTTCTTCTTCTGGGAATTTAACGAGCACCGACGTGAAATAGCCTAAACCACCATAAAATCAATTCCGAAAGTTCATTCCTAACTAAGAAAGCATTGAATTTGATTAAGGAGCAAAGAATACAAACTCACCATGAGACTAAGAGAGGAAGATAGTGAGTGGTAAGAGCTAAAACCCACAGTTAATCCAACAACAACGAAAGAAAGCCACAAACTTGGCGAATCGAAACCTTTTCTATTAGGCCTTTTAGCAAGCACAAGCAGTACTATTTTGCGAATGCTCGATGTTTCTGGTTGTTTGCTGGAAAACGGCGTCGAAGCTCGAAGATGATATGAGATTAATCATTAAAAGGTTTTTAAATTTTAGGGTAAAGTATATAAATGGTCACTTAACTTTTTAAATACTTGCATTTAGGTCCCTACACTTTTAAAACTTTCAATACAGTCATCAAACATTTAGTTTGTTTGTAATATGGTCCCGACATAACGGCCATTTAACTGCAGTTAGGGTAAATTATATAAATGGTCATTGAACTTTTCAGGCGTTTGCATTTAGGTCCCTCCAACTTTTAGAATTTGCAACACAGTCATCAATTACATTCTAAACCCCCAAATCCAAAACGCTTCAATTATATTTTAAACCTCAAATTCTAAAATACTTCAATTACATAACCAACCCCAAATTCATAATTCATTCTCAAAATATGCCATAACAAACTGAACTTGAAGCATCAACCCTAACCCCTCAAAACATAACTGTTTCGAAAAAATTTAACCAACTATAAGTGAATAATAAGTGATTATGTTGGATTTAGGGTTATGTTGGACCTAAATACTCAATTTAGTTTATAAAATAGTTTACTCGAAGTTTTTTGATTTGAGTTTATAAAATTTAAATCAAGTCGAATTGAATTGAATTTTTGAGTTCCTGTTTAAATTTAATTATAAATATTTATCATATTATAATATTATTTGATTCTAATTCAGTTCAATTTATAAAATAGTTGACTCAAAAAAATTTCGATTTAAGTTTATAAAATTTAAATCAAGTCGAATTGAATTGAATTTTCGAGTTTGTGCTTAAATTTAATTATAAATATTTATGATACTATAATATTATTTGATTCTAATTTAAATAGTTTTTAACCATATGCAATACATATATTCGTCATATTTTTTCCATATGTGATATAAATATATCATACAGAGTCAAGGGACTTGACTCAAACTTAAAAATTAATCCACTAATTACTAAAAAATTTGAGATATTCGAATTGTATTTTACAACTCGATTTTAAGTTGAAATTTTTTTAAGTTGAGTTTATGAAATTACAACTCAAAGTCAATTTGTATAATATTTTTTGAATCAATTCAAGTTGAAAAATAATTTTTTCAAATCAAATTGAGTATTGTTCATTTATAGTTGGTTAAATCTAACTTTTAAATCGTAAACCCAACATAAACACTTATTGTTATGGACCCAAAATGAACTCAATGTTGTTGATTATGTTGGGTTAATTGGTGGGGAAATTTAGCATTTAGGGTTATGTTTTGAGGGGTTAGGATTGTTACTTCAAGTTCAATTTGTTATGGTAGATTTTGAGAACGGATTATAAATTTGGGATTGGGCATGTAATTAAAGTATTTTTGGAATTTAAGGTTTAGAATGAAATTGAAATATTTTGGAATTTGAGGTTTACAATATAATTGATGACTGTGTTGCAAGTTTTGAAAGTTGGAGGGACCTAAATGCAAGCACCTGAAAAGTTCAGTGACCATTTATATAATTTACTCTAACGGCAGTGAAATGGCCGTTACGTCGGGGACCATATTGCAAACGAACTCATTGTTTGGTGACTGTGTTGAAAGTTTTAAAAGTTTGGAGACTTAGATGCAAGCATATGAAACTCATTTAAATTAAATTAAAAAAGTATTATAATATTATAAATATTTACGATTAAATTTGAATAGAAACTTGAAAACTCGATTCGAATTGAAAAAATTCAATTCAAGTTTGAGTTATAAAATGAAATTCGTCAACTCGAATTTTTTTTACTTGATTCGATTGAACATTCACCCCCCTAATGTACATGTTATTTTGTTATTAAAAAATATTGAGATTATTATAAAGTAATATCTATTTAGAATCTTGATCTTTTTATTGCCCTTCATGTTTCAAGGTTTCGCCTTGACTGAATCGCGTCGCACACCTAGTTTTGGTGGGTGAGTCTCCCAGTAGGGATTTTTTGCGAACACAAAGACTTGAACTTGAGAACTTACTTAAGTGATATTAAACGATTTATCACTTGAACCAACATGTTAATTCAATAATGATTATTTTATACATTACTCCCGTATAGGTTTGACAATGTCAAACAAGACATAACAACTATTTTAGTATATATAATAATTGTATTTATGATATACAGTGCAATTATTTTAAATATTATTTAATATATTAGTTATATGCTAAAGATTATTATACTTTACACACCAATATAACTCTTTCTATAACTGATATCTAATGATTAATATCTATATATAAAATAAAGTTAGATAAAGTATATCTATTATAAACTCATCAAGTGATTTATGTAGTAAAAGAAAATGTTATTATCTTTAAAAATTATAGATTCAAATAACTCCGTGTGTAATTGTTAATTAATTAAAAAATTTCTAAAAAAATATTAAATTATAATTATATCATACTAAATCAATATATATATATAAATATATCCATTTCAAATTTAGGTTCTAAAAAACTCTAATAGTCACATATCTCTCTCTTCACTTTTATTTGATAGGTAGCGATATCAATCTTAGTGTTAGTCGTTGATGTCGATATTTTTTGTTTTTTTTATCAACTCTTTATTTTTTTCTTTGTTATTTTAATTTTTAGAAACTTTGCCTCAATAGCTCGTTTTATTCTATCTTTTGGCACGTTTTCAGTCGTTTGATTGTTGTTTTCATTTATCATTTTCATCAAGGTTGGACTTGATATTGTCAAGATTGATCAAGATGACGCTTATTTGTTATCATGCAAATCTTCCCTTCTTTGGACCATTGAATTTGATTTGGATACGCGATTTGAATTCATGGATAGTTTTCTTGCTTCGTTCTAATTTGCGCTTTTATCGATGTTCTTTCAATAGCTTGACCCTTTTGTGGTTCGTTTATCGATGCAGACAAATCTATTCATATCTATCTTTTGTTTGAGTTTTTTAATTAAAATTTTTAACATTTATTGTGTGATCTTAAGTGGCTAGTTTATTGTGGCGGTAATTATAATAAAATGCCCTAATTATATACTTAGTTTAAGATCATGTTTGTAAACATTTATTGTAGTTCTCAATATTTCATTTTTTAACAAAATTAATGGTTTCAATAAAAAATTCTTTATAAAAAATAAATAATTAAATATTTTAATTTTTAAAATGTAATATTATAACTTATAACTTATTATTCAACGATTAAATTATTAAAATGTTAACTGTGGAAAAACTTTCGAAAATATGCAATACTCATCAAACTTACATTAGAATAAGTGATTTATCGTTATTAGTTTATACATATATAATTTTCATTATAATTAAACCATTCGGTTCGTATCTAGTTGAAATAGAACCCAATATTTCGTTTCTTGTTGAAAAGTAAGTTTAACAATTAGATAAGTCAACCCGTCAAATTATTTTAATGGTAAAAGAGAATGTTATTCTCCCTTGAACTGATGAATTCAAACAATTATATCTATAAAATGTGTGTACGTTGTCAATAAATAAATAAAAATCTAAATATATATTATCTTATAGTCACCTCAAACTATTATAAAATATAAGATAAATCTAGTAGGTGGAAATTGAACAACATCTCTATTATTAGAATTTTTTAAAATTATACACATTTGGTATTAATGTAAAACAATTACTATAAAATATATAATTTAATTTTATATTTTTGCGTATGTTAACGCCTCTAAATGTGGGTAACGTAAACTGTTATTAAAGCAAAGATGGTGACAACACAATTTGATTCTTCAATGGCCTAACGCAAATCTCGCGATTTGTTCTTTTATAATCTAATCTCCTTTAGCTTACTCGTCTTCTTCCTTTCAACCACACGATAACCCTAAAAAAACCTCGTTAGCATAGACATTACAGCTTAGCAAGTTTATGTTCTTCCCTTCTTACATGTTTTAAACCAACGACATCCCTTTTGTTTGATTGTCTCGTTAACGATTTTCTTAAATATTTTTTTGTTTTGTACAAATTAATTCTTTTATTGATTTTATTTTTTATTCTCACCCCTAAACCTAATCCTGCCACCACCACCACCACCACCATCGTCGGCACCTCATCAAACGCCGGCTTGTGTCCGTTGGTTTGCACAATGGGGGGAGGTCATCATAGGCCGACAAGGGCTGTTTATGTCTCCTCCCTTTTGTTCTGTCTTCTTTTGTTGAAAGAAAGCTTTGTTTCGGCCCAAAGTGTCGATCCTCCTGATATGGCACCGACGGCTTCTCCGGTTTCTTCGCCGGATTTGTATCAGCCTTCGGATAGTTATCTCATCAACTGCGGTTCGAGCGAGGTGAAGCTCGACGACGGACGGATATTCAAATCGGATACGGAAATGAGTAGTCATTTATCGACGAATGAAGATGTTCAAACAAAAACCGATCCGATCCCTGACAGCGCCTTCACGAATTCCACCCCTTCATCGTTAATGGATCTTTATAAAGCCGCGAGGATTTTCACTTCGGATTCCAAGTATTTGTTCTCCGTTTCCGTGCCCGGAAAACATTGGATTCGTCTCTACTTTTACCCGCTCCGTCACGAAAAATATGATCTCAAGACGGCGATTTTCACCGTCCAAACAGACAAGTACGTCCTCTTGCAAGATTTCTCCATGGATGATTCCAAGGTGGTTCTCAAGGAGTATCTTGTTAATGCTACTCAACATTTATCCATCGTGTTCAAGCCCAAAAAAGATTCTTTCGCATTCATTAATGCACTGGAGATCGAAGGGGTCCCCGATGAAATTCTCTCCGATTCGGCCTCATCGGTACCACAAGGTAACACGATCAATGGCTTATCAAATATCGGTTTGGAAGTCGAGTACCGATTGAATATGGGAGGGCAAACCATCACTCCGAAGAATGATACATTGGCTAGAACATGGGCTCCCGATGAACCATACAACACGTTTCCCCAAGGAACCGAGGCCGTCAGGGGTAAAAACATCAAGTACCGACCGGAGAATAAGATGACTCGGTTGGTTGCGCCGGAAATGGTTTACGAGACGGCAGATCGGATGATGTCCGAAGCGTATGCTCAGACCACAGTTCCTAAT